AGGAACTTATTCTGAGAGGGTAACTATTTCACCTGTGGGCAATTTACAAACACACCCGTCCATACAGTACATACACCAAGTGGTGCAGGATATTTAACTTCAATTTTAAGGTCTGCTCTCAGTATACGTTTTGCTCAGAATCTTGGCATTCTATGCTCAGATTTCTCTTGGACTCCTCAACGTCTGTATTGCCCCAGCACTCTGCCTCTAATTATCAACTCAGCTTGTTTCAGGACCTCAGTTTGAATTCCCTTGGTGCTGCTACAGTGTCTTCCTGGCTCCCGCCCTTGCTAATTCTGAATGTTTAGCCTGCACCATGCTCTGCTTGTACCCCTAGCCTGCCATCCCACCTCACTGCCTGCAGCTTCACTGTTTTATTTCTTGCCCTGCACCTACAGTAGGTTCACTTTATGAATGAAACCGCTGCTTAGTTCAACCTTAAGCCCCGGGTAAGACAAAGGGATGTTAAATTATATAACACACTAAGTAAGGCCTGATTTATATTATGAACAATTTGGGCAAAACATTATAGAAAAGATACTACTGCTCTGGAATCAGTCTGGGGAAGAGCAATCACATATTAAAAAAGGTAATGTCCTACACTGACAGGCTGAAGGAAGTGATCCCTTTAAATGTTGAACAGAGAAGATTATGACTAGGACCAGGGTTTCTAATTGTGTGTTTCTAAAACAAGTGGAGTTAGTGTTAAATTTTAAATTCTCAAAGGCACTGACAAAGAGTAATCAGCATCTTTCTTCAGATTTAAAAGTGAACAAAAGGGTACAAGTGGACGTGCATTTAAAACTGAGAACTTTATGGATTTTTTTACTCTTCTGGGGTAGAGTATGGAACAAGCTACCCAGCCATATTGTTAAAGTCAATAGCCTAGTCGATTTATTTATTCAAGAAATGATTGTGATGGATCCTTGGAACAATTAAGTACTAAACAGGCTAGATGGGCCAAATGGCCTCCTGTTCATACTTCATACAAAAATGTTTATTATTCTTAAAAAATTGCATCATTTTCTCCCTAAAAGGTAATTGATGTATTCATTGAAGATCTTTTGATAACCTAATGAGAACCTAATGTCATAAGGAAACACTTTGTCACAAAAGTGTTAATAAATAATTGAATACAGGGATTTAGCAAATTACTGAATTCAACAGGTAGAAACCCTTCAAGAGTTACTGTATGTTCTGCATATGGATTACATTATGTTATGAGACTCAAATTATCAAAAGCTTTTTTGTAAAGACTGTAGTTAAAATTTGTTTTTCCTCCAAAAAACATACTGATGCATAGAATTATCTTTCCAGTAATTCTATGAGTGATTAGTAAACTCTATGTTTTTTTTTTGGTTGTTGTGTGCTCTCAGAGCCTGACAGAATCACAATTACTTTGCTAAATGTTAAATTACAACAGTACATTTTGATCTAATAAAGTGTAAACTTTAATCTCAGATATCATAATTTAATGATTCTGTGAGATAGAGATTACAGAGAACTTCAGAAGTACTCGCATCTTTTATCACTGCCAGCGGTGGATTTGCATAAAATTACTTCAGGCCTGGTATATAATTAGGATATTTAGTGAAGGCACTACACCACCTCAAATCAAAGGTGACTGACTTTATTCTTAGAGAACAGTTAAATACCTGTGAATTTTATCATAGTCTGGATGCAACAACCTTCAGTGCAACCAGACTGTTAATATGTTGACTGTGTATGCATTCATGACAGAATAAAAAATATGCAACAGCACACAGCTATGCTACTAGGATACATATAGTAGAACTGTAAAATTCCCAACTTCACCAGAATGTACAGTAGCTGAGACCCCCAATGTACAAAATAAAAATAAAATAATTCTGTGGAATTACTTTGATATCAAACTCCAAGTACATGCACACTTTGTATTGCATCTACAGTATCTTTAACATAACACATAATGGGAATGTACACACGTTTTAACCTCCTGACATTTTAAATAACATCCCAGTATACTGAAAGTTCTGTGTATAACATGCATCCTGTGTACAGCAAAGGTGAAAGAGAAAATTACTGTATAGCATTCTACAGTTATTAACAATATGAAGTATACAATTAGTGTCATCACAGAGATGACTAAGAGAATTTTCATCTGTTATATCTGCGGTGTATATTCCACCCCAATTGAATTAGATGTTCATTTGATGTGAACCACTACAAAACTGAATAACCTGATGCTTTATCTATTGTTGCGGGGACTTTAATCAGGCCATCCTTAGTAAATTTCTTCGAAAATATTACCAACACGTCTACGGCCCATCTAGGGCTGTGAATACTCTTGATCACTATACGACTATAAAAGACACCTACCTTTCCATGCCTAGACTACACTGACAGTCTGATCAATTGGAGCTACAAAGAAGGCGCAACAATGCCTTTACTTACTATGACAGTTGAAAAAATTTGGTCTTTCTTCAAATATTTTTAATACATATTACATGTGCCCTATTGAAAGTGTGCTCACATGTGGTTTGGCAGCAGCTCGATGTCTAACTGAAAAGGCTTTACAGGATGGGCCCAGTCCATTACAGCTCCCCTCTACTGTGGACATTTTAACAACCTGCTGTCTCAGGAAGACTGGGGGTATTGCTAAGGATAACAATCATCCTAGTTTCTTACTTTTCTCTCCTCTGCCCTCTGGAAAGCATTATGGAAGCATAAAGGCACATACCTCCAGATTCAGAGACAGCTGTCAGATTATCGAATCCTGCCACTACCACTGACTCACACTGATGTGTTTTTTGCAAAGTGCTTGTGCTGACTTTTATTTAAGTTGTGTGTTATTTAACTTTGTTATTGAACATAGTTATATGCCATATGTTATATAAACATAAAATACATAGTCTAGCGATGGTTTTAAAATTTAACATGGCTGTACAATTTTTCAGAAAAGGGGATTACTGTACATGCCATGAATGGAGCCTGGATCCCACCTCAATCTTAATGTGTCTGGTTTCATGGAAATTCTCAGAAAACAAGGAATTTCATGGAGCGACTATTAACTAATCAAAACCACAGAATTTGTTAATATTGCAATTTGCCATCATATTATGTTGAGTTACAGTTTGCACCTCTCCAAACATTTTAATATAATTTTAATGATTGCTTGCAAAACAGTGGTCCAAGTAATTACATCTACAGTAGATGAAGGCAGTCTGCAAGAACAGCTGTAATAGTTGATCTATGGATACTGTATATCTGGATAAAACATCATGGAATTCTTTAACTTTTCACTTACTCGTTTTGACATTACTGTGCTTGATCTATATGATACTGTATGTGATAAATGGTAACGATGTGTGAATGCGAGGAAATCAATTTGTTTGTCCATGTATTTGACTAACGCACCAAAATAAAAACTACAAGCTGCGCTTGGTGATGGATACACGTCCTATTCCATTTTAAAGAGACCCATTAAAAATAAAAAAATTAAATTATTAAGAAAATCTAAAATTAATAAATGCCACTCCCAAAATCTAAAATTTATTTTTGTCCTTGTCCTTTTATGTCAGTGCTAATAGCCAAAATATGTAATAAGGCCTGGGCTTGACCTACAGAACAGTAGTGTGTGAAACACTACATAATAATTTCTGTAATTCAGAAAACAAAGCATCACCATTTCCACTAGGGACATACATTATCATATATTATACTAAGAACATGTTTTATTGAAATTAATCAAATATCTACAATGCATTGCATGGAATGAACTGGATTTAAAAAGCCTGCAGATTGTCGTAATATGGGGCACAGCACACACGCACTCATACCGAGGAGTAAGGAGGTGGGATATGACATGTCCGTGTTTGAAAAGCTTCTGTTTTAAATGTAAACATATTATGTACTTGATTATGATTGGTTATTTTTAGCTGGGCTTCCATTAAGAATAATTCACAGCAGCAACAGAAAGAGCCACTACAGGGAATTATTTGCTCACATTTAAACGAGCTGATTAAAAATATGTTGTGTTACACATTGAGGGAGCCCCCTGGCGGCCTTGGAGCCCTAGGCAGTCGCCTAGTTCACCTACGTCCAGGGCCGGCTCTGAAAACATCCATCTTTAGAAATACAGTTAGAAAATTTACTTTCTAAATCCATCATGCAATAACGCACATATTCATACCAGCGCCAATTTGTCTAGAAACCAATTAACCTAACAATATGTCTTTGGACTGTGGAAGGAAACCGGAGCACCCAGAGGAGACCCATGTGAACATGGGGAGAACATACATCATCTAAGTATGAAAACATCATCTAAGTATGAAAAGACAGTACCTGATTAACACCAGGTTTTAATAGAACTAATTTTGGGTATCAACAGCAGAGAAATGATAACTGTGAAGAATCTGATTCAAAGGTACAGTAACATAGATTCAGTACAAATATAAATTTGAACAGAGCTCTGCAGGATGTCAGAAGTGACCAATTTATAGAGGACAAATTAACACATTTTCTATGCCTGTATGATTTGTACACCTGCCTTGTGTACAATATCTCCATTGTCACACTCATATTTATCTAATAAATTATGTAATGGAAGCAAATTGATCTTTCATGACATTTTAAATTGTTTAACATCATGGCTTAGTATCCCCTGCTTTGTAAGGTAGATAAGGTCAGGGGAATGGTGAAGGCCATTTCAAATCACATTCTGCATTAAAAACACTTTTATAATTCATCCATCACAGCAAGAAGATTAAAAAAGAACAAGCATACTAGTGTTTTTTGCTTGTGTTTCAGCTCATTTGTCTTCTTCTGAGTGTGTGAGAAGGGGATGGGGATATAGATCTCAAACCTCAAACTGACTGGAGATGCCATATCCCCTCTAACCTTGTAGCATGTTTCCTTGGTGAGATTAAACGTGGGAGAATAAAGATACGTGTATCTGCTTTGTATTCTCAGCACAATCATTAATATAAAAGGCATGTTAAAACAAGAGAAAGAATCCCTACCTTTACAAGGAGACTGATAATGCCAGTAGCTTTTGTGGACATGTAATACCAGAAGGTCAGTTTGCATGTCGCACTGGATTCTTTCCACACAGAGCTTTTCATGTGGGCCTTGTCACCTTTTAACCCTTCAGGAGTGGCTTCAAGATAGATAAAGTGACCTGGAGAAGAACATCAATATCAGGTTGCTTCCTTATTATTACTCTCCTCTTGGGCTGGTGGCTGGTATCAGTTTACTTGTGGAATGCTAAGAACATACAGTATACAGTATGTGGAGTTGGGGGACTATAGAAATCAAGAATCACCTTCAATATTAAAATTCAAAATATAAAATATACAGTAAATGACTGCATTAATTTATTAATTGAGTTGACTCATGAATCCTTACTTTCTGGCACTGTTTAACTTGAATGCCTCCGCAACACCTTTCACCCGCCTTTTAAATTGTACTATTTTATTATTTTGTCTGTAAATCCCTAAAATAAAAAATAAGTGATTGCTTTATGTTTCCTTATCTTGGTTTTGGATTAATTGTAAACTGACCAGTAATTTATGACCTACTGTATACTCTTAAAGAAGTTTCTTTCCTCTTCCTACTTGGTGTTTGCTAACCACTACTAAGTTTATAATCTGACATTGATTAATTGCAGTTTTCCTGGACTAGGAACTAGGTCTGAAGAGACTAGGTTTCATCCACCTACTTACATTGTCACATATGCTTTTGAGTCATCACATTAGACTTGCTCTTTTTTAAGGATACCTTTTAAGGCATTGGTATCTAATTATAAGAAACGAAGTGCAAGAAGATCACTACTCAGTACCATTTTCATTTCCCAGTGTATGATCGTTAGGTGGCCTGAAGCTCTGGGATGAGCCCATTCCCAGAATCCAGTCAAAGTTATCAGCCAGTGAGTTTTTCCACCCACAGCGGCCACTCTCAAAACTGCAGGACGTTCCACATCCCTCCTCATCTGTATTGTCTTCACAGTCATTCACAAAGTCACAGCTCCGCACTGGTTGGTAACACTTCCCATTTTTGCATTCCAAGTAGCCTTGTGGGCAGGAGCCTAGGTAAAGGTAAAGGAGAGTAAAGTAAGTGTTACAGAAACACATTCTCCACAAGTTCAGGGGCCTGGCATTGAATGGGGCTTTGACAATAGTGTTTAACAGCTCAGAGAAAACGTTATTCGTTGTAGATCATCTACTCTCAAGATCTTGCAGCTATCAGATTCATAACCACTAATCATAATGATCTGGGCGGTGAGTCAGAGATCAGGAACACAGAATGGATTCTTAACATTATTCTGAGCAAAGACCTTGCTGAACAATGTGAAAGCCGAGAACATTGAAGCACTGCGGTTCTGCTAAGCTGCAGATCTAACTTCACCATGCACAATTTGTGCTTGATACACATTGTAATATACTGATATACAGTACCAAAGTGGAAAACCAAAGTGAATGTTTTTAAATCATTATAAACAAATATGCATTGATAAAGTTAACTGCTTCGTAATTAAGAAGCAGTTAGCTTGCAAGAGAAGCAATTCCAATGGGCAATAGGATAATGTACGAAAGGTCCAGGTGATTGCCAAACTAAAGAAAACACCAACATAAAGTGTAATAGTACGGGGCTGGGCCACCAAGAGTCACCAGAACAGCTTCAATGTGTCTTGGCATAGATAATACAAGTGTCTGGAACTCTACTGGTGGGATGTGACACTATTCCTTCCTAAAAAATCCATCATTTGGTGTTTTGTTGACGGTGGTAGAAAACTCTGTCTGAGGTGCAGCTCCAGTATCTCCGAAAGGTATTCACTTGGGTTGAGTTCTAGTGACTGGGACAGACATGGCATTCTGGACGGTTAACATTATTTCATGCTCATCAATCCATTAAGCAACCACTTGTACTCTGTGGATGGGGGCACTGTCATTCTGGCAGATTCTATTCCCTACAGGATACAAATGCGTCATCACAGGATGAAGGATGAATGTGATCACAGAATGGCTTTGCATTTATTGGCATTTACTTTGCCCTCTAAGGGGCTGAGGGTACCCATACCATGCATGTAAAATGCACACCACATCATAACAGAGCCCCCAGAAAACTTCACTGTGGGAAACAAACACTTGAGCCTGAAGACGTCTTTTGGCTTGCATCAGACTTGCACGTGTCCTCTTTTGAAGGGGTGAAGGATGACTCATCTGACCATATGACTTTTTTGTACTGTTCAGTAGAACTCCACCTTTACTTCTTTATCTCGCAAAAGTAAAAGTAAAATTTTTAGGTGTAATAAAGGTTTTATGCACCGCAACCTGACCACAGTATCCCTCTCCGTGAAGTTTTTGGCAGACTGAAATTGCTAAAACTGCATTTGCAGTCAACTGTTTTAAAATAGTTTGTCTGTTTTGCCTTGCATTTTTAACCAATGCATGGACATCACAGATGAGGAGTACGTGCTTTCACAGCCTCCCCTAGCTGATGATGTCTTTCCCTCTGACTTCCATGCCAACATCACATTAACCAATGTTCCTTATGAAACATCAACAATGTGAGAAAGTCTTTAATGAATCTCCTGCCAAACATGCCCCAACAATCACTTTTTTCTAAAAATAATATTTTTTCCCTCCACGAATAATGTCAAAACATGCTGTAATATATTAAATATTACTGGGGTCTATCTACAATGCTGACTGTCAGCATAACATTAATATTTTTTTAGCTGAGTTCATTATACTGTATGTAATTCTCAAGGTAAATGTATTAGAAATGGTTGTGAAGAGGAGTTTCCTTGCTGTTTCCTCAAATAAATATACATTATGTACTGTATATGCTCTTTATAACTTAGTACTCAACTTGCAGTTCTTTGAAATTTCTCCATTCCAGAATCATCATTTCAATATCTTGTACACAATTACATAAAAGTTTGTAAGCAAAGATACATTATTCTCTCATGGAAAGGGTTAAAAATAAAATCTTAACACAGAGGTCAGACTGGGGTCAGATATTTAAGTTTAAAATACCAAGACACAATTATTACTGAAGTTCCAATAAATGCATTTTCTTGATTAAAGCTTCCTGCATCAGAGTTTCATGGAACAACCTGTAAACACAATTCTGCACTTTACAGCAAATTCAACAAAACTGTAAAAGTAAAGTGAAAAACTGGCTTAATTTGGACTTTAGCACTTTCAAAAAATTGCGGGATGGTTTTTGTGGCCATATAATACACAATAATACATATATGTAAAAAGAATGTAAAATAATAATAAAAAATGTATTATATAATAATATATATATATGTACATATAATAATAGATATAAGACAATTCTAACTATGCACATGTATAAATGTCCTACATTGGCAGCTGCTCACATGACAGATCACAAAGGCCACTGGACAATTGCCTTGCAGAGCCCTTCCTCTTTTCATATCATTAAACATGAATAGTTTAGCTTTTCTTATATTTTTGATTATTCTCTTGTTTGTGTTAAACATTCCTACATCTATAATATTCTCTGCTCTCTTAGCTAGCTATCTTTTTTTCTGTCATTTTAAACTTGCAGATAATTTATTATTCTGCCCTTCGAGTAAGACTGTTATACTCTCAAACCTTGCAGCTTATGGTTATATTGTATTTTTGAAAGCTAAAAGTTCAACATTCACAACAAAAGGCTTATGAATTTTCATCAATGAGGTCCAGAAACGGATTTCATATACAAAGCCCTTTGTATATTTGTATATTTACAGCTTATAAAAATAACCTGCACTGACAAAAGCAGTCCTTCCACTATGCATCTCAAATGTTTTTAAGAACCTTTAAGAAGGTTGGCAGTTGTTTTAAAAGATGAGAATGCTTAACTGAAGACAGCAGGTGGCTATGATGTATAAATGAAGTAAAATATGTCCTACTATTTATTTTTAATTTTATCCCTGTGTATTCCTGTGTAGGAACAAATATATTTTAAGGACAGCACTGCAAGAAATTAAAAATGAAATTCAGTGAATAATCACAAACCCAAAGTAAAATGTATGAGAAGGTAAGGTCAAAGCATTTTTATTAACAGGCAGTGATAGATTAATGCTAGCTTGTAAGTGACATTTTAATTTCATTTTGATTTAAAACTAAACTCATAAACCATACATACCAAATACTGTAAATATCATCAGCAAAATATGATCCATAAAAATAAAAATCGTAAAACTTTACTGTTCTTCCTGTTCTTTTTATAACATGTACAGGAATCTTTCATTTAAGAAAAAATAATCACATTTACTGTATACTCAATTGTTTGGGATTATTAGGATATTTAAGGCTCAAGAACATTTTTATAGGAGACACAGGTCCCCATGTTTAAAAGAGAGTTCAATTATTTTTTTAAGCCATTGTGACTAACGAAAAATCATATATTTTCCTTAGAAAAGATTTCATTGAGGAACATTGATTATACAGGGCTTTGAAGTTCATTATAAAACAAGTAACATTGTCACCCCATAAGGTGGGTTTACTTGATATGCTGCAATTAGTCAACATGGATCTTTTAACAAACAGTACTAAAAGTATGGAAGAACATTCCTTGCAGATGTGTTGTTACCTTGATCACCCATAAATTCGGACTAAGAAAAGAGAATGCACCATTTTTTACCTCTCTGCATTGAATAACTTATCTCTGTCTTCAAAATAAGTCCCACAATGTTATTTATAAACCATCTTTTTTCTAATTCTACTACCAAGGACGAAGCTCCACAGTTGAGCAGCTCTCACGTGTTAAGAATATGAATGAAAGACCAACAGTATAAAGGCCTCAGCAATGTTGATACATGTCCTTGCATACGTTTTGTGGATCAAGTCTGCAGTTTCCATCATCCCCAGGACTTAATATGTGTTACACAGGCAGATTTGTATTTTATTCTTTCAAAAATTGTGCTGTTAGTACACTGTGATGTGTGAAGAGAAAACTTCAATGTACAGTATTGGCAGGCTCATTTTCACCACTGCATCTTCACTTGTGGAGAACTTAGATGAGCGGCTTGAAATGGAGAACTGGAAGTTATTGGCACACACTACCTGAATTGTTGCAGATGCTGGCACTGAGAAAATGTATTTTTCAGACATTCTTGCTGACACACTTAATGCTTACATACACTTACAGCTAATGGAGTGGGGATCATTGACAGATAAACCTGGAGTTAATTCTTTGCTGCCGTGTTACAGCCTGACAAGAGTTTCACTTTTCTTGTTAATTACTGGCATAACAAATGTAGCACTGATGTTGGGATCTTTCATCCCCAAATGTATCACAAAAAACAAAGATATATGCTAATTCTTACACCAAAACTGTCTGTCACCCCCAGGCAAAACAGCCTTTATGATTTATTTCAAAAGCTTTAGAGAAATAAAACACAGGAGCCTCTGTATGACAGTCCAGGATATTTTGGTTTTGGTTTATTATCATCACTTGCTGCACTATTAATTTCCCTGCTGTTTTTTTTATTTTAAGATTAGGTTTTAACAATCAACCTTTTATTGCTGACATTAATATTCCTATGCACATAAAGGTCAATAAATTCCAAAACCTTTATTGTACATTTACAGTGTTCTCCAACTGAATATTTAACTATACTTCAGAAACTATGATCACTGTCATTTGTATCTTAATAATACCTTTAAAGGAGCCAGCGTGTTAAGTAACTAAGTGTATAACATTGTAAAATATGGACTAAGATACATTTGCCAAAATCAAGAACAGAAATCACACATTTAAAAGAAACAGTGGAATTTTGTTTCTGTTAGGAGGGAAAATACAGAAAAGTTGTACTCAGGTTACAGAGGAAAATAATAAAACAGAAAAAAACAGCAGGTTAACAAAAAGCAGGTTAAATATGAGGTATTCTTTGACATTTTGCTTTAAGATGTTAAAACCGATAAAACACACTACAGCTATTTAATTAAAAAAAACCCTTTATGCTTTAGGGACCACCATTCATTGTTACCATCATTGTTTTTTTTCTTCTGCTGCAGTAATTTGCACAAACTTCCACGATGAGCAAAAATGAGATTTGGTGTGTTATCAGAGATGAAACAGGCTATTTGTTTTTCACAGTCAGCAAAACTATATGACAATGACAAAGGTGTTGCTGTACATGGATGAAAAAAGAAAGTATGATCTAAAATTGTTGTGCACAAAATAGAAATACTTCATAAAAAATAGGCTTTAAGGTCATCATGTATCCCATAATTACTGACACAATATTTTTTTACAATGATAATAAAACACTTAAGTTGAAGGTTCTGGCTATTTCCAGTCAATGCACAGTGATACAACAGTACAATAAAAATGAACAGCACAATGAAAAGAGTTCCCAGCCAAGTTTTTTTATGACATAAATGGTGGAACTCAGTATTCTTACAGCAAAACTGAGAATCTCAGACATGGTTTTACCCCATTCTTTATAAAAATATTTTTACTTGATGACTAATATGTTCTTTCCCCCTTACTTTCAAACATGAAACCAATTAAGATGCTTTTTTAAAGCACAGTGCCTCCAAAAGTCTGGATCATTTAATTCAGAGGCAATGCAACAAGGCTAGAGACTAAATGGTTTCCAACCAAGCAAAAATTACCAATCATCATAGCCAGGAGCCACAAACTGTATTTCTGTTTTTTTAAGAGAATTGACAGCTAAAAAATATATCACAAATCCTCAAAGAGTAACCATAAATCCCAAAGGACAATTGCAGCTATAAAGTCTAGACAGTAAATAAAACCTTTCAATGCATCCTTTTTATGAGAGGAAGGCCGTAAATAAAACAAGAATGTTCAATACTTGGAATGGAACCTGACCTTTCTTTGCACTGGACTCTAAGCAACCCTGCACTAGATACTGTATGTTTTACTACAAGCCTGAAGATTGTCTTTGCCTTGCAGCATCACAATCTTTGTTTTAATAATGAATGTTAAGAATGATTTATTATTCTTTCTTTTATCTCAAATGTGCCTTCAATTTTAATTAGTGGAGCAATTTCTGCATGGGGAAGAAACAGAACAAACAATAAAATGAGGCAAAAGAAAGGAAAAGGGCTGAAATATGAGCCACATTTTGAAGAAAACAGGTGAAGAAAATTGAAACAAATCTAAATACAAAAACTGCAGCCAAATGTTTCTAACCATTGCATTTCATTGTGGTTTTAGAGTCCCTGTGGCACTTTTGCAATGCAACACACATGGTTTTAATTATTTCATAATCATATAACCTGGGGGATGAGTATTTAGTTTTAAGAACTGTTCCTTGTGCAAGAACAGAGGAAGTATTTTAAATATAAAAAATTAAGGGCATTTGAGAATTGTACAAAAAACAATATCATGAATAGTTTTAAAGATATGGTACTGTAAATATGCAATTTCACATCAATGTGAAAGAGTTTCAAACTCAAGAAACAAAATGGTAGATTAAATAAAGTAGTCTATAGTGCACTTCCTTCTGTGTAAAGCCATTTTTTACATTGTGGAGCACCATGCAACACAGGTTATGTTCAGATTTTTGGAATTGTCACACAAATCTACATAATTCTTTACAAACTTTCAAAACACAGCAGAGGGGGATTTTGTCTTCGCTAGTAAGTCCAGAAACAGGAGCATTGTCTAGAACACAGTGTTCACTCGTGAGCCAGCAGCCCCACATAAAATTAAGGTTTTATTAACATGGAGAAAATGACATCCTTTTTACGAACAATAAATATAAAAGTATGCTTACATTTGATATAAAAAAATCGGCACAGAAAATACAGTAATGAAACACAAATGAGACTACTGTAATCTATATTATTGAATATCAGTGGCAAGATTCTATTCAGTGCTACAAATTACTAATGACAATATTTCACTCAGTTAGAGGAGAATGTGATCAGTTTCAAAATCATTGACTGTGATCATTGTAAACATTGTACCGTATCATAAACATTGTACTGTTGTATCACAATATTTCACTCAGTTAGAGGAGAGTGTGGCCAGTTTCAAAATCATTGACTGTGATTTGTCATTTTAATTCTTTACTTTTCTGCATTTCATTAAACACTTATGTGTTTAACTAGGCGGGGCGGTACACTGGCTCTGTGGCTAAGGATCTGCGGCTGTGGCTAGAAGGTTGCCGGTTCATATCCTGAGCTGGCAGAGCAATCCTACTCCGTTGGGCCCGTGGGCAAGGACCTTAACCCCAACTGCTCCAGGGGTGCCGTATAAATGGCTGACCCTGCACTCTGACCCCAATCTTCTCTCCCTCTCTGTGTGTCTCACGGAGAGCAAGTTGGGATATGCCAAAAGACAAATTCCCAATACAAGAAATTGTATATGGCCAATAAAGTGATCTTATGTAGACAAACAGACTACTGGAATACCTAACTGGTTTGTATTATATTAAAACAAGTTTAAATTCTTACCAGTTGGAGGAAGAGATGTAGGCTCAGTCGGTCCCACAGATGAAGCCAGAAGGCATTCCCATGTGAAGGTGATGTCATCCAGGGAAATGTCAGCTTTCAGGCCTTCCCCAACCCTCCCCTCAAACATCACCACAAAGTCTTCAGCTGAAGAGAGGGGGATTTCTTTCCTTTGCCAGTAGCGTCCCTGATCCCCAGTTAAGTTCAGCAGCAACAGGTACTTTTCAGACACTGTGATCTGGTACACGTTCAATGAGCCAGTGCCATCTCCAGACATGTGCAGGTAGAAGATTAACTAGAAAAGAAATGAAGATCATTTACCTTCATTTTCTGCAGAATTACTCAGTGAAAAGGAAGCAGAAGATGATCAACATGGTTATAAATCAAAGACATAATGTCACTGTTTTGCTGGAGGTTTTCCAACCTGCAGTGGATAAACACTTTTTGCACTGCATAGCTAAGTAAAATACTGCAGTTCTGAACACAAGTTAAAAGAAAGCCAAAAACTAAAACACCCAAAAATTGTTGTTGTTATTATTATTATTATAGCCATCATCAACATGCTTTGTTATTACTAGACATCGCACCTTTGACATCTTAGAGTGCTTGCATGGTTTTATATTGCTTGCTTAAGATCCTGACTCTGGCTATCTTATGCAGAAATACGGATATATACGTTTTATTCATGATGTCTGGACTATCATAATGCTTTATGTACTGGGTTATCTTATAAGGCTCTTTAGTACTGTATGTCCAGAATTCTGTGACCAAAATGCTGACTGAAACTATCATTATCTATCATCTGATACTGTAGGTTCTATATAAATTGCACTGGCTTCCTGTCATGTTTAGAGTGAACTGTAAAGTTCTCCAAGGCCATGCCGGACGAGCAGGTCAGTCTTGCCCTATAAAAGAAGGTTTTGCAGGAAACAAGTGCTGAAAAAAAGGGTGGCAGAAAGGGAATGAAAAAGGTTCATATCTACCACTGGGAACCACCAGCAAGACAGAAAGAGACATAGAAATGAAACCTAAAGTACTCAGGAGGTGAAAGGAAGTAATTGGCGGCTGCAGAGACTTACAGGATGGAGACATAGAGTACTAAGAATAAATCAAAGACCAGGAAAGAAGATCATGAATTTGGAGATTACAACAATGTTTTTTGTGTTGTGTTGAGTTAGGAAGCAGGATAATTGTCCCTGCTCTTGTTTGAAAAGAATAAAAGATGTTTGGACAGGACTCTAAACTATAGTGAGGCTTGTATCTAGTTTCTTTTGTTTAGCTGAAAATTTACCAGTGCTTCTGTATATAATATTTATAATATTGAATAAAAGAACTTCTTATGAACTATTTTATTTCTGTTTCTGTTATTTTTGTGTGCCCAGTTCCCATCAAATTCAGCTCTGGGTATCTCATGTTCTTCCAGGATATCAGCATATACTTTATGAAACTTTAGTAAATTATAATAATATTAAAGGAGCAATCAATTCTATGGTTTTGATCCTGAAAAGAAAAAGCTGAAAATTATATTAAATATGGATCCCTATCTATCCACAATAGTTCAACCATCTTGAGGTATAGTATGCACAAAAGTGACAAACTGCATGATGCACTGGCTGTCTGGTAGGAGTCTGAATGATTGACAAATTAGCTTAAGAATTTATGGATGGTTAAAACTGACCATTTGTTATAGCGGCTTAACTGGTTTCCTCAGACATCAGGTGAGACTTGTGAGGAAATCACCTGTTAACTCACCCATGATGCAACCCCCAGATTCCCATTGTATTTTAAGCCTTTGAGTGTAAATAATCTTACAGTGTAGTGCTTACTTATACAGTACATACTATCATCATAATATAAAACTGTAAATAGAAATGACTTCAGCTTTATACAGTGCATAGACATGATTTTTAACACTGATTTGCAGATCAAACTAATACAAATTTTGTAATTATAGAAAACACTGTATTGGCAAATGTATTTGTTTACTTGTATAGATTTTTAAAGTAATGGTCCATTTACTTTATTTGGTGTATGTTTAACAATAATAATTGCTTACACTTATAAAGCACTTTTCTGGACACTACACTCAAAGCACTTTTCAAGTAATGGGGACACCCCCCACGACCACCAATGTGCAGCCATAGTGTGCCAGAACACTCACCACACATCCGCTGTCAGTGGGGAGGAGAGCAGAGTGATGAAACCAATTCATAGATGGGGATTATTAGGAGGCCATGATTGATCAAGTCCAATGGGAAATTTGGACAGGACACCTGGTAACCGCTACTCTTTTCGAGAAAAATTCTGGGATTTTTAATGACCATAGAGTCAGGACCTCGGATTTACGTATCATCCAAAGGATGGTGCCTTTTTTTTACAGTATAGCATTCCCATCACTATACTGGGGCATTAGGACCCACAGAGGCTGCAGGGTGAGCACTCCCTGCTGGCCCCACTAACACCTCTTCCAGCAACAACCTCAGTGTTTCCCAGAAGGTCTTCCATCCAGGTACTGACCAGGCTCCCACCTGCTTAGCTTCAATGGGATGAGTTGCAGGGTGATATGGCTGCTGGCTGTTAGAATGTTTGATTAATTCACTACCTAATCAGAAAATTATCTTAATAGAATGTTTGTTTCTCCTGTGGTATTCAGTTAATTATGGATTAAGATAACTATGCAGTTTTAGGGTTTCATAGTTGCACATCCAATGCAGTATCTGGGTGGTATGATGCACCGTTCATTTCTTGGTGACTGAGAAGTCTGTATACAATGGGATTTTCAGTGACATTAATATTTATAGTACCCTTCTCCTGCTTTTCAATGACTTTATCCCTGACTTGCTTTGAAAGCTCCTTAGTTTTCATGGTTGATGGCTCCTTGGTTTTCACTTTTTTGCCTTTGCTTGAATTTATTTGACCAAGGAACTTCACAAAGGCAGGTGTTTTAGTCTGAAATAATAAGAACCGCTATACTGTAACTGCATACAGACAAGGCCCACCCAAATAATTTTAGGACTTAAGCTAATTTAATTAGAAATTTTAACTTAATATTAAGTTAATTTTATTATTTCAATTTTTCTTTCATATTGGTTATTTATAGTATGTTGTATTGGTATTTATTTCTTTTTGTGTTTGTTTTGAATGTGCGGAGCATGTTGTGTGTAAAACAAATATGAATTAGTACTTCATAGGGTATCACTACAAAGGAGCAAGGATCTGAGTGCAAGGCACTGTGTAGACATGATAGACATGTTTGATAAATCAACAGATAAACTCTTGAAATTGAACTGAAATATGGTTGAATTAGCAATGCAGAAAGCAGCAGCTTGAAATAGAGAATAAACTGATAGCATTTCTTTGTCAATCTCATTTTGGATTTTAAAGAATGTCATATGTACAGAGATGACAAGATGTCTGCACCAATATTTCAGTGCTACATATGCAGGCATTCAAAGTGCGCGGCACAGACACGTACCGCAGGTAATTGGCTACGGCGTCGCGCGTCACGATGCAAAATACCGCGGTACGTGATTGGTTGACCGACAGGGGCACTCGTGGTGCGTTGGTCAGTCATAGAAAGATTTAAATGTCTTTACTGTGCCCATTTTAGTATTGAATATTTATATGGAATTTTACCACTGAAGGGAAATCTTAGTAGCTGAGCATAAAAAGAATAGGAGCATACTGTAACGCATGTGAAGGCCATAAACGATATTAATTTTGGAATATAAACATACAGTATATGGCTGGTCTCGGTACTTTAAAGAAAACATACACACCAGTATTCCATTTCTCCCTAAACATTTTAAGCATCGAAGTCTTTAACTAACATGATACCGGAGTCAACAAGCATACTTTTAGAATTTGATTAAAAGTCACTATAATATGGAAAATCTAAAGAAATTAATAATGATATAATTATATAATATATAAAATATATTATTTGCCACATCTTAAGTGTATTTCTTATATTTTTAATTTAAAAATATTAGAAAAATAATTACATTCCTTAAATAATTATATTTATATATATATCTTATAAGAACTATTGTCAAAATTGATTTTTTTTCCTTTTATAAAAAGTATAATTTGTTGTGATTGTAGTGCCTTCACACAGCAAGACAAAGACAAAGTGGAATACTTAATTTGTCTGCAAGTATCAGCTTAAGCCTGGAGAGTAACAAATATAAAGAAGATATTAAATTAGATATTAAATTAGGTATACAGATCACTATAATACGATTTACAAACATTTTAAAGATAAAACAATCATTTTAATAAATGATTCTGCTTTCTAAAAGCAGATAAAATATAAATCCCTTATTTATCCCTGAAAAATAAATTCCTTTGTATTTAATATTAAATGTGAAATGATCAGGTGTGAAAGTGAGACCTTCCCATTAGGTTGAAAATAACTTCTGACATTGCTGAAATGTTCTGTCTGAAAAGTAGTAGTGTAGCCATTTTCTAGGCTTTTAGGGCAAATTTCTATATTCATTATCATTGTGCTCTTCTCTGATTCACAATGAAGCCTCCTTCTCTGACATGGTTAGCAGTGAATCATGTATGTTTTATTTTTATGGCACAAAGCAGACACATTTTGACAAGGACTCTGAATTGCATCTTCATGCTTTTAGCTCAAGATTAAAGTGTAATACAGTAATTCAGTCCAAAACTGTAGCTAAGCAGGCTTTATAAGCACATTAAAAAATCAGCAGATGACCTGGAAAATGCTGAATTACTCCAATTTAAGAAAAGAAAATTAGCTCCATTAGGTAACTCAGATGAAATGAAATCTGGACAGAACTATTGCCCTTGAAGACTGGAGCTAGGCACACTGGACATAAACCAAACGAGACTGCAGGTAGAAATGCTACAAAAAATCAATAGCTATTCCTTTGGCTTGAGGGCAGCTTTGCAGTGGAGTAAAGCAATTTAATTTATTTAAGGATATCCAGGTTATATCTTACTTTTATTACTTCAGTGAAAGAAACATTTACCATCACTCAGCTTCTCATTCATTCTGTGAGCTGCCTACCTTGCAGTCTTTGCTCTTTCTGCTAAAAGTCGGGCCTGAGATCCGGGCTACGTCTCCAGGGGCATGGGGGAACGAGCTATCGATGTGGATGTAGTGACCAGAAGGGTCCCGCAGTGTGTGGTCTATCGAGGGGCCTGTGCCAACATTTGGTGTGCTTCCAGTTTTCAGAAGCCAGTCAAAGTCATCTCCTTGCCACTGGCGCCAGGAGCAAAGGTCAAACTCAAAATCACAGCGGCCATGGAAGGTTTCTGTGGAACAGTTGGATAATTTATACCATTATACAGAGATCACCTGTACAGTAAAATGACAGAAATGCAAACTTTATCAAATCTAGAGGACAAACAAATAAGTCAGTAGGCACATGAATGGATCACCAAAAGGAGAATAGTCCCTGTCTTTTACTAGTACTAAAATGTATTGAATGTGTTGGACAGTATCTGCTATTGAAAGTTTCAGAATGTGTTATTAAAGGTTTGCATGGTTTATGCACAAAAAACTCTACATATACTGTGATGACCACATTGTTATTCATTGTGTAGACAATCATTATACTCCAGACAATCAAACAATTGTTAAGCACAGTAGAATAAAACATGTACTTGCTGTAATGCAGATTTTCTTAAAATTAAAAGTACATCTAGGCTTACACTAGATGGTTCAAGGAAGGATGTTAAGAAAAATAAATTGAAACTCAAAACTTAAAACTTAAAAACTCAGGCAAACTTAACTTCTGTTTACAAGATTGCAGTTGAACTGTTAAAAGCAATATCCAATTGTTTATTAATTTAAAATAAAACCTTTATTCTGCCTACAGATTTTTGTGTTCATTGAACACATTAATCGTGAACGCATTCATGATCATGTACTTTTTTGTGTTCAATTAATTCATTCATACACAGAAATAAAGTAAATTAATGATTGAACCCTTAATATTGTATCGCAAAATGGAGAAAAATGTATTTATGGTTTTAGCACTCTACATACAATACAAGTATTTAGTTTTGTGTAGCATTTATGAGCTTTTTCAGAGCACATTTATCTTGTCAGTTTGAACTGGTCTTCACCAGGATAACCATGCAGCTAATAAGGTAATATAAAAAAAGAAAATGAAGTTCAAAATGGATATATAGTATTCGCAACTTTTTTGAAATGATAAATTATCAAGGGGTAGGGACTGCAGACTCTTCTTCTGGTAACTGAACTGCCAGAGCTCACTGTATCTGTGTGTATGAATGTTTACATATACGGTATACTGTACATGGAGAACATTAACAATACCTTAATTCACATTTGTATAAAGAGCCATATTAAAAACTACCTGCAGTGCATAGAAAAATGGACTCTTGAGTATACGAAACATTGCAAAAAATATTTGTATACCTCCTGATATTTTGTCAGTGCCTAGCGAGCTACACAAAATTGTTATTATCGTGAAACTGGGCTCAAATATTATCCAGCACACACTGTAACAAAGGTATTCAAATCATGCCTCTTTCTCATGTATGTATTGTGTCTACTCATATGATTCTGTACTTACTGTATTTTGTAGTCATATTTATTATCATTAACTATGACAATTTTACTCATGTTACATGTTTCCTTGGAGAACGTCTTTAAGGTACAACTTGTAGAACAATATGACATCTATTTCAAACACTGCAGACTACTGAGAAGCTGTAAGAACTTCCCAGCTATAGAGTACTAAAACCATCAATACAGAAGTGCTAGATAGGAATTTTGATCTGTGCACTCTTACTTATCAATAAGGCTTGTCTGTTTGCACACTGCTCATAAAGATGGAAACTCATGGAACTTACACAATGAAAAGAAGCAGTATAAAAAGCAGGCAGCCATATTTTCTAAGTAGGGAAAACACCAAAATGACACCATTCCCTTCTAGTCCTGTTTGTGATATAGACATTTAATCAACCTAAACACTAAGAATCCTCTCTTTACTTCCCGTCTTCTAGACATTTTTTGAAGTTACTGTGTACAATTTAGTGTACTTTCTACCTATGTATAAAACCATTTCCATACAACTTTTTACTGGAAACTTTATTATGGCAAATAAGAATACAAACTATGAATGTCTAAGGTGTTTTCTATGAAAAATGTAGGAGTGACACTAGAATGACTTAGTTCGATAAATATTTGCAGTTCTAAAACAGAATCCTACTCACATTGCCTTTTCTGTTAAGTTTTTGGAAGCAAATTAAACACTTTTACACACTTCAACTCTGATGTTTTATTCAGAATCACATCAAGAAGTTATTTTAAAATATATTTTATGATAAGGTTTAGAGGTTATAGAGACTACAGCTTTTATGCTGTGTTTCTATCTTAACACAGAGTTTTGTATTCATGTAGGATATTAATTCACTGGGGATTGTTATATTTGAAAATCTCTGTTTCTAAACTTCATGTGCCATAATTAAAACAAATACTAATTTTTGGGTACGTTCTGTCATATAGGATACAGTGCACCAGGTGTGTGGAAGGTGCTCAAACCACAGCAACATAGAGTATATCTCAGACAGCAAATCCATCTTGTTTCAGGAAATGTCTAAGAAGACCTAACCACAAGACATTGGTTCTGGCATACACTGTGCTCCCTTCATACTTCATTTTTAATCTGTGGTTGAAATCAGTTAGGAATACTTCAGTTTTCCAAACACAGGAAGAAATCAAAATACATGTACATTCCAGTACATGACAGTTATGACAGTTGGCAAAAAGCTTTGAAAGTATCATTACTTCACTTACAGTTGCTTAAAAGTCTTGGTTAGAAAAAACAGAAAAGAGAAAACAGGATAGCTTTGGGAATAGTAACACAAACGTTAGTGGTGGTAAACAGGCTTGTTAAAAAGATTATTACTCACTGCAAATATATGGATTCTCATCTGTCGAATCTCCACAGTCATTGTTAAAGTCACACAAGTTGTCTTCTGGGATACAATATTTGTTGGCACATGCATATTCATTACTGTCACATGGCCGGTCTGGAATCAGCAGAGGGGCACAGTTTTCAAAGGATACGTCATCCACCGATACATCTCCGATGTAACTGACACCACGTTTTGCTCTCAGTATAATCTGTCAGAGTTAAACAAATGCAAGTAAAAAAACACGTTAAACTGTTTATGTATAATTCATCAGACTTTTCTCATGGTTTGATTTAGTGAATAGTATTGTATAGTAGTATTGTATATCTGCATGACAACAGTGATTATTCAGAATACAGAATGATTTTACACAAATCTATGCCTTTTGGTATTAATGTGTGTTTATTTTGAGTTTACAGTTAGGAGCAGTAAGCACTAAGGCACTTGGTTCAAAGATAATATATTGCACACATATTCTGAATACAGTATATATATATACAAGCAGCTTGCATATGTATGACGAAGGTGTCCACACTAACCACAGTATAATAATATAATTACATTTAAAAGCATTGTAAAAAAAAACCCAAAAACGTGCAATAGCACACGTAATGCATACAACATAAGGAAACAATCTCAGCAAAGAAAGTCCAGTGGCCAGTTCTTGGGCTATACTGTTAATTGAAAGGTAGTTGACAGGGATTCCTTTGCAGCAGCAAATTTAGCAGGATTGCTTAGACTAGAGTTACAGTACCTCATCTTGTTAATTAATGTAATACAAACAAGTAATTAATGTATTAAAAATGAATACATTAAACAATTAATGTATTACAAAAAACTTTTCTAATACATTTGCTTAATCAACAATAGTAAAGCTCTAATGCACACAAGCAAGTAGGTTATATAGATAACAATATGTTCTGTGTGTATACTGTATCAAGTAATAACAATATTTAGTAATGTTGTGCACTTCTGTGACTTGTCGTGTCAAACAATTAGGAAGCGTGGGAAATTGATTTAAAATTAATACAACTGAGAAGTAGACATACATGTGAGAATGTGGTCTCTTTTTTCTTTGGCATTACTCAAGAAAAAGAGTAATTAAATCAGAATAAAAACTTGGACAGAGAAACAAATATTTATTAACAGTTTCAGTAAATAGCACAGTGCTAAACAATACATTAACTAATAACAATATACACAAAACACTGCATTCCAGCGGCCTACATTCTATAAACTAATTTTGAACTGGTAGAATTTGGATTTGGCATAGGAGACAGAGATGATGAAGGGATGAAGAAGGAGGCTAAAAGATCTTTGTAAATCTTTGTAAACAGTATTTCCTTCACAGATTGAAAAAAAAGATAATTCCTTCATAAACCTGAAGGTTCCAAGCAAGTTTGTGGCAATATCAGTGAAAGTAATACAACTCCTATAATCAGTGCTCAGAATTCACAGCCTGCCAAAAGACAGCTCAGAAAGGTGGGAACCTCATTCCTGCACAGTACAAGGGATGTAGTGGTATGCAGAGCTGGTGATTAAACTGATGATTACAATTTAGGAGGATACAAAAGAAAAAAACTGTGAAATCAAATCTTGTATAAAAAGTAGAAAAATGTAACACCATGTAATGTAATGTAAATCATGAAAATCTCAGTATACAGTATAGTCCTCAGTAATGAGAAGCAAAAACCTTGCTCTGTTAAACATCAGTTCCATATGAATCAGTGAAACCTACCCTTTGATATTTAAAATATGGATAAATAGTAATGAATGTCAAGTGAAGTGTACAAAGATCATGGTATTTATAAACTTAACTGAACACTTCTCAAAATGCATCTTACAGCTAAACCCTATGCTTTCCCAAATGAACTTTACTTTTAAACAGGCTCATATGAATGGCTGTGCTGCTTGAAGAGATGTTGGTTTAAATCCTGTTAAACTTGATAACGCTTGAAATCAGTGGCCTTCAGGCCTGGTAGGTATATCTACATATTTAATCATATGGGGTGAAAATGAAAAATGAGGTCCTTAAAAATGCAGTACAGAGCAAGATCAAAGTCGTTTTCCCCTGACAGGTTTTAAGATGTTTTAACTCAATTTTATTCAAATGGAATAAGACAATATTACATCAACATCAGTTGCTCTTTCACAATACGAACAAACATACTGAACAGTTTTTATTAAAATAAAAGCCTTCGAACTTCTAACTGCCTTATTCCTTAATTTTGTAAATATTTCTCTGCAATAATGTATTTTTTTAATGTTTAAAAATGATCAAACAATAATCTCACCTATTTTCACCTATGGTACCTATATATACTGTAAAAATCATATTTTTTATTTGATTTAGTTTTGACTTATGTATTTTGTTTCTGCATTTGCCATTTGCATTTGCCAAACACAGATCTTACTCTGCTACTGTCCATGGTTCTTTTCTTTTGCCTACTGAAGAAAGCCAAATGCATCAGTTAACTCAATAATCTATGAAACACCCCATGATGTGGAATTCAAACTATACTTAAAAGTGAAATTCTTGCAAGTCTTCTTGCTGTTTGGTCTCACCACGTCAACCAGGAGTCCTACTACCCCATCAAGCTACAACAGTCCACTTACTTACAACCAAATCTATCTTCAGTCCTGCATCCTTTTTCCAAGTCTGTCCGGTCCTACTTCCATATGCATTTGAAACAACATGCTTTCCTGAGTCCTATGCCGACTTGCCTTCGACCTCATGTCTCCATTAGCCCCATACTCTATGCCCATCCTTCTTTCTATATAATCAGTATTATTTCACAACCTGTCCCACTTTTGTCTGCCACACCACCAAAACCTTTTCAACACTTTCAGAAGCTCTATACTGGATCTTCATTTACAAGTTTCCAATTATCCTTCATTTCTCATTTGGCCTTTATTCTGCTTTTTTAGATGTATAAACCCCCTTCAACATGGAGAAAACCAAACCTTCCTTTGAGTCATTTTGAATTGTCCTTGATTCTCCCCTTTCACATCTCCTAGTCACAAGCAAAGTTTGACTGCATTAAGACAATTCTCACCAGTTCTACTAAGTCAATGTGAGCTCTTAACCCTCCCCAGTTACTTAAAGTATGTTAAACTATGACATACTGTATATAGCTTAATTCTGCTGCTACAAGTCAGCTGGCTGGAGCAGTGAGGGCAAGCACAGTAAAGGAAAGGTCCTGCTGTGTGCCACTTCACAGCGTTGGCGGATGTACTGTAACACAAATCTGTCTCTGCAAAATGTCCTTTCTAGTCCATTTCAACAACCATATATACTCATCTAAAATAGCTATCTCTTCCTACCCACCACTCTTCAAAATATTAAGTGAGTGACTTTTTCCTAGTTCCTCCACTTACTTCTCAAAGCTGGAACTAAGATGGCTTTAGTACCAAATACCATTCCTTCGATTGGCACAGCCATCTTCACTGCTTATCAAGAAAACCTGACTGCCATGTTTGATTCCATGAACACTGCTGCTCTGAAGTTATGGAGTTTATATCACATCTGAACCCATCCACTTTATTTGTGCTCACTATGATTGATTACTATGATTCAGTGTTATGTTAAATTATATGTTTCCCTTTTTCATCCTTGCTCAAACACTGTTTTTTGTCCTAAACTTACTTTCTCTTTGGCAGATTTGGAAATGCTGCTGAAGCGTTCTTCATATCTTCCATTTCCATCTTATACCTTGATATAGTAACCATATCTTCATCCATACTCTATTTTATCTTTTATAATTTCAGGATTACGCGTCGGTAATCCTTCATCATTTCTTTAGGGGGTTCTGATAGCACAGTTTGTACAGATGCGTTGTTGTTCTCTTCAGCCAGTTGAGTTACCTCAATATAGCTCAGCATTTGATTTATGCTTACTCTATGCCTTAAATATTGTTTGAACAAACTACATCATTTTATCTGGTAAGATTATCTTTTGAATAGAAAAATATCTGCACCATGTTGCAAACTACTTGCTCTCAATATCACATCAAAGAATTAATGCAATAATTGTTTCCCAAGTTCCTTCTATTTCATAAAACTCCCACTTTACTGGTGAAAAGTCTGTTAGACAGGATGTTGTGAGCAGTGTACTAAACAGCAACAGTACGTATTCAGTACCTCTTCCTCGCAGAACTCTGTAAAATCTCTTATCACATAGCACCATAAATGTTCTAAGGAAAAGATATGCATTTCACGGACTTTATCCATCTAACTCCAGATGGGGAATTGAAACCTTTTCTGAATTGTGTTATACAGTACATGTAAAAATAAACATATTTCAATTAATTCAATACGAGATGCAATGTAAATTAAAAAAATGAACTAAACCTCAAAATTCAAACGAATTCCCAGGAATACTTCTCCTTTCCTCCAAAGGTCACCCTGATTTCCAGTTTGAGACCAGAGCACATGTGTCACATTGCCAAATTTACTGAGAACCTGCAAAGAGAAATGGGTTTTTAGCTATCCAGCATTTTACCTTTTTAGACTGAAAAAAGTGTAACATTTTTCACCTGGATGACAAACTCCTGAACTCTATGACAAAAACATTTTACACTGAAATATTTGGGGGATTATTTTATGGATGGTGTGATGCAGCTTATCATTAGGCCATGCAAACCAAGATATTATTGTTAGAAGAAATTTTAAGTGAAATGAATAATGTGTTTCCAATTACTGAGGAAAAAACCAGTAACAAAATCAACCTACCCCTTCTAATATCATACCCCTTTTCACAACATTTTATAACAAATACCCCTGAACCTTTAGGGACATTGAGTGTAAGTGAATGCTACATTTTAAAGACATTTTTTTCACACTGATCATTGGTTGATTCTCTCTAATTTATTAAACTCAGACTAAAGAGTTAAAATGAGATGGGCAAGTTCTAAATGTAGAAACCCTCAAGAAATTATTTTTACTACCAACTTTAATTATTGCTGGAGACTTTCTGATTTACCAGGAAGTAGTACAAAAACTCTTAAATAAAAAGCAGATGCATGGTACTTACAAATCCAGCTTTCTCTTTTAATGAGTACAGTATTCTTCAAAACAATGAAAAATATATTCAGTTCTGGCACGTAAAATGGATTGAAGATGAATAAAAATCAATATGTGGCTGAAGCTAGCTCATTAATAATTTCACACACGGTGTTATGCCAAGTGTGTGCATACTTCTATCTCTGCAGGTAAAAAAATAAAGCAATTTTACAGAAGAACAGTCATTCATAATTACCTGCAAGGTCCCCACTGTGACTCCTTTCATGTAGTACCAGAACACCAGTGTACACTGCGGCCCAGTCTGAGATATGACGGGGGTCACAAGGTCAGCGATGTGGCCAAACTGTCCATTTGAACTGTCTGCATACATGTACCAGCCTTCTGGAGTGCCTCTGGGAAGGAAACACAAAACATTAAGTCTTCTACTGTGTGTATGTCCGAATGCACTCCTTAGAATTTGAGAAACATTTATATTCTCTATTAATAAGCTGCACAACTCAAATTCAACTTTGTGCTTTATATTTTGTTCATAATAGTTAACACTTATCATGCAACTTGAGGTCTTATAGTTTATAATGGTATTTTTCACTCAGAATAATCTAGGAATAATCTAGGATGCTGAATCTAGGAATTCAGCATACTGAAAGGTTTAAGGATTTTTTAAGTCACAATAAAATTTGGCTTAATCCACTTGACCAATGGCCAACCTCCTAACCATAGAACAAGGAGGTAGGACCCCCAAGTGGTGTGAGGAGTCACCAATGGGCAGCTGCAAACATGGAGCTGGGGTTGAGGTGGAATGCAAAAAGACATGCATTACAGTACAAGTATGTGGGAGTGAGAATGGGATTATATATTATATATGGTATTTATAATGTTTTAGGTGAAGAAATGACATCAGGTTTAATTATGAATCACTGACAGTTGACGCTGGTTGAATTTAGCTGTTGTCATCCCTCCCAAACGTTCATTATAAACTCCATAAAAAGTTACATGCTGCACATCTTAATCACCGACCCCCTACACACAAAACAAGGCATGATTTAGATAGTGCTCCAGAATGAGTACAGAACCATGGAGAACAACTGGCATGTATTTTGCAAGTAGCAATATAAAATATCTCAAAGAATGCATTGTCACAAAAATCAAATAGAAAGAAGTATTTTTGCATAATAATATTTTACATGAATGCATAGGATGATTATGCCCTACTCAATCCAAGTTTTTACATTTTTCACATACAATATGATTTACTTCAGCTGAATGGTTCTATGACCAGAGCACAGCTTACCAGCATGTGCAAAGTTTCCCAGTCACGTACAATGGTAATCAAGGACAGTTTGCAATACATTCAAATACTGTTGTCTCTCTTGACCTCTTGACAGAGGGAACAATTGAATCTAAGAGCAATAGGAAAATAATTTGCTCTTTCTGAATGTGGGTTTGATGCGACAGTCAGACAAGCATCCTCTGTAAATTGATACTTACAAGGTATGATCTGTTTTTGGTCTGTGGTTTGCTTCCCCAGGATATATTGTTAAACCTTGTCCAGTAAGCCACAAAAATGCTTGTTTGAATTTTGAATTTGTTTTCAGATTCTGATACCAGCCACACCTATTTCCCTTTTCAAAATCACACTTTGGACGCACTGCAAGAGAAAAGTGAGCAAAACATGCACAACAAATGCACAGATGTTGTTAGCAACGTTGTGTGTATACACAGGGGTTATACTGTAGGTGTCATAAAATGTAAAAGCAATGAGTTTCGGTTGGGGAGTTTACCTAGCTGTTTATGGTAGCCTTAAGACAACTATTATTCTTTGATGGCCTCTTCAGATTTTATGTTCTAAGGTGTTGCACACATCTCATAAAGCTGTCTCAGAAAGTACCTGATGGTGACTCTAGTCACTAACATATCTTACGTAATGTCTCTTTTATTACACATGAAGATACAGTATTACCACCTTTTGCCATGATCTCATCAGATTTTAGAAGCTAAGCAAGTCGTCTGGGCCTGGTCAGTAAAAAAGAATATAATAATGTTATACAAACAAGGGGGGAGGGGCATTTGGTCTCATCTTGCTCTTTTGGTAGTTTAGAATCTAAGAATCTAAGCAGATCTAAACTTTTGACCACCCATTTCTTAAAAGTGTCCATAGTTTGTGCCTGTTCCAGTCTGTCCCACCACTTTGTGGGTAAAGAAGTTTCACATTCTGTGTCATAAATTAATTCCTATTAAGTTTCTAATTTTGATCCTGTGTTTACGTTTAACTGTTATGTCTGGCAGTTTATTTATGTCCATTAGCAGGGGAAAAATACTGAAGTCTGTGTATGATTCTGGAGTTTGGAATAGTACATATCTGATTCTGTACAGTTTAACTGGTTGATTCCAAATTGCAACAGAAGTTTTCTAGTGGATTGCAAATAACATTTCTTAAGGTCTGTAAAAGTAAGCAAAGGCAGTGTGTGACATTCAGACTCCATTTTTCTTTGCAAAATTTAAAAAAGCATTTTGTCATTTTGTGTGGGTGGGGTAATTCTGCTGAACACTGGAAATTTGGGGGTGCCTGAGGACACTACATATGTTTCAATCCCTTGCACAGGGTTTTTATTATGTTGTGTAGGCTAGCTACACTTATAACAAAAATGAATAAATACATTATAGAACATCAGAAGAGTTAATAAAATCTTGGTTTATAATAGTGATCCTAAACACAACACAATTTCCTGTGAAACATGTATACAGTAAATGCATTAATAAGGAACAGGTAAAGTTTTATTCCATGCTAAAAAAAGAAGAAAACAAAACACAATGTTTCGACTGTGGAGCCTTCCTCACACCTGAAGAAGGAATAAACCTTGTTCCTCATTTAGAATAATGTGTGTGTTCAGCTGTGATCGACTGGCATCCCATCCAGGGAGTATGCCACCGTGTGCCTTTTGCTTGCTGGGGAGGGTCCAGTTGGATGAAGTGGTTAGAAAATGAAGGAATGAATTAATGAATTACAGAGACTAATACTAACTGTATACTTGTAAAAAAAGTACCCGTTTTGAGAACAGATGAGGATCTCAAAGATCCAGACTAGTTGTGCTTTTAAAATAATTCTCAATAAATGATGTGTAAAGCTGGACCAAGAAGTAAAAAGAACAGAGGTAATATAAAAGGAATGCCTTGTTCTTACCACAGGCTAGTTCATCAGTTTTATCAGAGCAATCCTCTCTAAAATCACATTTTTTCACAAGGTCAATGCAATCACCAGTTGCACTGCACATATATTTGCCCTCTGGACAGCTGTGTGGATACTCAGTTGTAGGATATAAGGTTCCTGAGGGTATTGTAGGGCCAGCTGAAGGTAAATCACCTGAAGAAAAAAAGTTAGCTGCGTAAATATTATTTAGCTAAGAGAAAGTCAAGTGCTGTAGGGATTTTATATCAAATGAAATTGCTGTTATGCAACAATGTATCATCTAGTCTGTAAGAACATTTTTACACACCTCTACTATGCAAATTTTGAAAAACAGTATTGTAGTAGTAGCTGTTTCCCCACAAGAGATTTATCAGGGAGAGGCACTAAGGTGATTGACCCAGGAACTGGAAAACCCTGTTTGTTCCAGAGGGGAGACGAGGATAGATTGCTAATTTCCTGTAACCTCAAGGGGCCTTAAGTGACCACAGAACTGTTCAAGTCAGAATTGCTCCAAACTCTCAAAAGTTCAGAATCTGGGCTTAGCCAAAATTAAAGAGTATTAAAGATGGTTCGCCGCAGATACTGTAGGTGTGTTCAAGTTTTAAAAGTCATCTCACACGATAATATGATCTGTGAGTAAAGGAGATGCTGTATACTGTAGAACAAGTAAGTGCCCACATCTTTACACCACTATTTATGTTCTACTTCTTTGAGCTTCCTTACTAACTAATAAATATGAGAATGTAGTCCTCTCATAACCAGAAAGTGTCAACTCGAAGTATAACTCACACTCACTGCTCAGTCGGTTAAACCATCAGCTGCTGAGGGTACAGCCTTCAACTACAAACAGGTTCGGAGAGCATTTCATCTCGGGACTACACAGAGTGCAGGGCAACAAAATCACAAAATGGCTAGTTTCCTCCTTTAATGCGTACATGTTATTTTTGTGCCTTTGTTTATTTGAATTTTCGGACCACTGTTTCTTTTTTGTTTCCTTTTCCTTGTTTTATTTATCTATTATTATTATTATTGCATTTAAAGGGTCCAGTCTCAATTGTTTTATGGTATTTATATTTCAAACACAATTCTCCATACATTATTACTCATGCTATTGAATGAATTACATTAAGCAGATATGAAGTGCAGAAGAGTTTCCTGCTTCTTACTGTACATTGAGCAAAAGACACCCTTCTTTTACAAACTCCAAGTGCCTAATAAAAGTATGTTTAAGTAATTAAAACAATCACCATAATAGAGAATGCAGCCCATGAAGGACAAGTCATCAATCGCTATGTCTCCATTAAAGTCATCTCCCACAGTGCCTTCCACCAATATCTGTCAGAGAAAAACAGCAAAACCCAGAATGAATAAGATCATCTTACCAGCAATCAATGAAATAAAAATAGAAACAAAATTTCAAGAGAGCCTATAGAAAACTATGATTAAAATACTATGATATATAATACCTCAGTAGTCAAGAAAACAGCTTCTGAATGACATGCCTATACATACAGTAATTCAGTTTATTATTTAGTTCATTTAGTTTATTTAGTTATTATTATTTGTTAATTAAAAAAAATAGACAAGAATCAAGAGAAATACTATTTTTGGCTTTTGATTTACAGGGACGGTGCTTCAGCATCTCACACTGCAGGGAAAGAAGTGAACTAAAGGGCTCTGCACTTTTTTACTGATTTGCAATTCATCTGCAGGATTTCATTATTGCAATGCAGTACATTGGCTGGTTTGTAGATGGAGCATCTGAAAATCTAATCATTTAAACACAGTATGGCAGTTAGGCTCTATGACTTCAACAATGCAGCTGTAATTGACCCCCAAAAAATGTTTTAGCCTTTGTGATCCAGCAATAATACAAGAACAGAAGCCTTCATACTAAGAGAAAACACAGGCTATGCACAAATTCTCTCAACTCCAGATACACTTTGGTTTCAAAGCAGCAAAACAGAAAACTGTTAAGAGAAGTCTTGGCATGCAGTAGGTACGAGGAAAATCAGAGTAGTCACAGTGATAAGGGAACCTGAAGAGCAAAAGTAAATTCAGTATAATGGTTTAGGCACCAGCAATACCACTTTTAATGTGAAAGCTACAGCATACTGCAGTTCAACGACACTTGTACCATGCATTTACTTAGCTGTGCCAATGTTCTATGCAGTTTGTATGACATATGGTCTTCTTTGTGGTTTAGCTGTACTTTACTGTGCATTTGTAATGTAGTAGCCCAGTAAAGTGTTATAGGTACAGTAATCAGATTTCTGGTTTTCTGATGAGGCGAAATTCTGAGCTCTACCATTCTAGAATCATTAATGAAACAGCACTTAACTAAACAATTAACTAATTATGCTACATACAGTACCTCCAAACCCAAACTGGAAGGAAAATAAAATTTCATATCCGAACTACCACGAAAGCATTGATATTTTTCTAACGCACAATTCTAGAAGTTAGACTGTTTTTTTTTTTTTAATTCAGCATGGTGCATCATAAAAGTTGTTTACCCATACTGACAGAAAACACCAGCAGCAGAAATGAAAGTCATGCTCTTCACAGTCAACAGAACCTCATTCACACCTGATATGCATGATTCAGCAGTTGTGATATTTAATAAGCCCTGAAAAGGGTTCTGAAATGCAATTGGGGTGTGGAGTTAAGCATGTAATTGTTCAAGTAAGCTGGATGTTCAACCGTTAAGATATTTTAGTGAATGCTGTCATCACCCACTTTATAACCAAATTAAATATTTATGATTAATATACTCTGTACATATTGTGAAATCCTAAAGACTGTGTATGCAGGAAAGGTTCTTACACAGATACAAGTTTTTTTAAAGTGAAAGATATATCACTTCACTTCATCTCTTTTGTACAGTACCCTCCAAATGTATTCATACCTCTGATGGAATAGATATAATTATATAACTATTAGCAGATGAAGATACTGAATGAATCATATTGCTTAAAAATGCCTAAACATTTTATAAAGTTATCTTTCAAATCAGAAATCAAGTCTAAAACACAGGATGGTCACATTGTTTTCACACCACTACGTATTTCTTTAAATAAAATTAAACAAAAACAAATCTACTGTAACATTCTTGTCTTTGGAAGTAAAATGTAAGCCTCTGTAACTACTGTATACTGTATATAGCCCTCTAATGGTATCCCCATTTACCACGCACATTAAAGGAGGTTTCAAATTATTATATATAACAAATATGATTTGCTCTGTGCAATACTAGTATGATTACAATTCAATATTATTGTAACTTTTTGAGGCAAATTATCAATCTGTAATTTATTTTGCTATGGTGTTTTTTTTTTTTGTTCCTGTTTAATCAGGGGCAAGAATAAACCTGGAGGGCTCTGTATATCCAATCTCAATTTCGCTAACATCTTTATGATCCACATTTCAATACTTATACTGTATTTGTATGAATATTTATAGTGCTCTAAATCTGTCATTTAATATTAGGTTCCTTCCCAGTACACCACGATCTGATTGTTTGTGTAAGGTTGCTAATGTGTTTGTAATTAATACATCATTATGCCACCAGTAGCACAAATGGAGATCATAGTTAAATATGAGAACCATTGCTATTAATTCAGACAACATATTGATTTCCTTTACTTCCATATTCAAATACCTACATACTGTACTACATAAATACACATAACCAGGATAAAGTGGTATAAAAGTTAAGATCAGCTCCTAAAATGAAGAATCAAGATCTGGTCAATAAGTCCTCAAACCCAGGTAAAATAAACGCTAAATTATAAAATAAAATGGTTTGAGCATTCACTCAAGAATCATATTATGGTAAACATTGAATTACGAAGTGTTACAGTCATAAAGATTCATAGATATTAGCAAATAACCTCAGTGAAAAATCACAAATCTTTCCAGATAAACAAACATCCCGAGCAGCCACTATTGCAATTTTTGGATTTAGAGTACTGCAGTTTTCTGTACTGAATATTATTGTATGTGGAGGAAATTGCAGGTGTTTTTTCCCCGTTTTGACATATTCATTATTTGTATAAAATTAATGTGTTTTTTTTCAAATTATATTTAACTGTCCACTTTCTAAAATGAAATAAAAGACCAAAGGTTGTAATGTTCTGTATGTTTCAAAACAGTCTTGCAATGCATATTTAAAAATGTTGTGACTTCACTGACTTCAGTAGCAACTGCTTTCAGAATTCCAGTTTAAGACAAATATGGCATGTGCATCCAGTTCCTCAACAGATGGTTGAGGAATGCAAAAATATTATCTTTTCACTTCACAGGCTACAGAAAAGACCTGCCCTCTCTGTCAGCAGACATTATCCTAATCCTAATCTTGTTTTGTCCAAATTGTGAATGAAATTCCACATTAGAGTCACTTACTATTCTGTACATTTGATACAACAGGAGCAGACTTTTCTTTTCTTCTCCTGAATAGGGCATTATGATAATTTATTCCATGTTTCTGGGAAACAGGAGCTTAACACATCAATTTATACAGCCTGCCCTTTACAGGAAATACTATTTGGAGTGTTTTTAAAGGGAAAACAATCTGGACCAGTTCACATCAAAAGAACAGGAAATTCCTTTCATTCTTTCTTTTGTTTTATAGATATAGAAATGCAATTAACATATAAAAGGGGGGGGATGAAATCAATTAGAAAGCAAAGTCTAACACAGCATAAAGGCAGGTGAAGACACATGGAGACAGAAAGTGGCAGGATTGTAAAATCCAAGACAAGAGCATAAGCAAGCCTGTTTACATTTTCCTCATGGCTTGTATTACAGGTATATATATTTTTAAACCTATAAAACAAATTTGAAAAGAACTGTAATATTACAGAATTTACAGAACCTATAAGGAATTATTCATTTTCAAAACTGTGCATAACTTATAGTATATAGTAAATATACTACTATATATGGTATATACTGTATTGTATACTGTATACTATATAATAAACTACAGTATACAGTAGTATAGTATATTGTTATTACAGTGTAGTAAATATGTTGCTTGAAGCACAAAACCATGAGCAGTATGTATATGTAGATGGTTTAGATCTGATCTATAAGACCAATAGGAACATCTTCCATGTCCAACACTTCTGTTTCCTGTTACATTAAGTGTAAGAAATATTTTTGAAAACATTTCACAATTGTATCCCATTTATGTTTACTGAGTATCAAAGCAAGAGCTACCTAGTGATACCTTGTGAGGTAACTAATTTAGAAACCAAAGATGAATACTTATTTCTGCAACTCCATATAACACTATGGCAATTTATAAACATGGATTCACACCTTACATTATTATAGAATATTAACTATTAACAAGACATCCAGTAAATATATTTTTCCCATTAGTAGTAGGTTAAATGTTAATATCACAACAAAATACTACAAACCGAATTCAGGAATGTCAATTTCATAGCACAAAATATTGTGTATTAAGCATGGTAGCCTTCAATTCATTTTACAAGCTGGGAACATCAGCGATATAAATTTCCTGATCCAAAGCTTCAAGATGTGTTCTTTCTTAAATACAAGTTAAACACATCCCTACACATTGAAAATGTCTTTGAACACTGAATAAAATGATTGCACAAAGGTTTTATATTAAACAGCCATTTTAAGGCAAAGTGTGTTATGATTAAAGTCATTTATCATGCAAGCTGAGTTGCCTTTGTTATCTGTTTCACAGAAATCCAGAATGTTTTCAAAGATGGATTTAATATAATAAGGGATGTTTCTATTGTAGTTAAAGTAGGTATGAGGGAGAAATTACTGTTGAGTTACACCACAATCCTAAAAGCGTCATTTTTTTTATCTTCTTGGAAGCTATAAAAAATCCTGTCAGTGTGACAGAAAGAGAATAAATATTTTTTAAATTACATTAGGAATAATAAAATAGTCTGAATTAATTTCTAGTGAAGAAATAAATGTTTTCATAGACTTAAAATCCTTTTGCCTCCTACACTGCCTTTTGCTGTTTATCTTTCACACATCACATAAGAATTAAAGGGCAAAGATTTGCCTAAATTACATCCAAACAAAATAAAACACTTCTTCAGCTTCCATCATTTACTGTAAAACATTGTCAGGAATGATTTACAAATTGCTCTTAAATCTAGAGAATAAACGGATCATTTTGCTTATTACCCCATACCCTCCTCCTATGAATGAATCCCAATCAAACTTGTTGCTGGCTTTTTAGGCTCACAATATATTTGACTCAATGATAGGAATTGTCCAGTTATCATTAACCATACTTGCTGCATCCAAGTTTTAAAAGTTCACTGTTTCTCTTTTTGTCTTTGTTCTCTATCTGCTCCTTATATATATACTCTCATTTTTCTGTGAATTAAGTGATGTTCACCTTATAAATTCCTTTAATATTTTCAAGGCTTCTTTCTTCATATGCTGTGTACTGGAAGAAATCTAATTTAGTTCTTTCAACCTATCACTAGACCTCATGTTCTTCAGCCTAGAAATGCCTAAAAACCTCCTGTTAAGGTCAAATAACCCATCATGTTTTTAATCTGGAGAACTGTTCACAGTAACCAGGATGTGACCAATTCAGTGATTGATAAGACGGAGTGGATTCAACTTAATTTACCATTCCAGGTCCTGTGCGCTGTATGTAAACATGTAAGGATATATGTAAGGATTCATAGAACTTGACAGGTTTTTTTTAAATTACATACAGTTTTGGAAGAGCATATGCTGTGCATCTGCAGAAGCAAACCAGCAGATGGAAGGAAAGGACCCACCTACTTAGATAAAGTGAAACACTAATGAGTCACTTCATTACAATGCTCTGATGTTGCACCATGAGAAGGAATTGGCTGTATACCATGAGGATACTGTACAAGTGCTGTGTAGATGTTAATTGCATTTCCTGTTACAAATGCAATTACAGATAAATGGGACCAACAGAACATACAATTGGTTAAAATGAGAGGTCCTATTCATCAATCCTCTTAAATGAGAAATGTAGAAGCTAGGTATGATACTATGTGCTAAAGGAATCCAGTGACTGTAAGTACATACAGTATTTCAAATCTAAATTTTAGCAGAAGAAAAGTAGACTTATTGACCTTATCTTTTGATCCCAGCTTAATATATTTTAAACAAACTGAAAGGATACTCCTACAGCAGTGTCCCGCTGAAAAGACTTGTCAAATTTTTCAAAGCAATCTTTTTCATTTCTGAACTCATTTTGCTGAAAGTCATAGCCATTTAAGTAGTGTGAAAACAAATTTGAACAATAACGAATATCCAGTATCTAAATCAGTATTTTACACAAACCCTGATTAAAGAGGTGTACATTATTAGATGTAAATTGAATTTGAAATCAGTAGCACAGAAGTATGATATTTAATGTACAGTATACAGTATAGATTTAGGGAGAAGTGGGCTTGTTTGGACAAACCCTAATTTAGTTGGAGTAGAGGCAAAAGGCAGAGATTGTTTTGAATCCCCAAAGGAAGCCAGTAAGAAACTAATGTATATGCACAATACTAAAGGTATGAAATTAAAGAAAATAATAGGATACAGTTGGTAGAGTGAACAAAGAAAAGGAAGTTTTAATAATATAAATTAAGTAATATTTCTGAGCCAATTACTGAGAGTGGAGTGTTCAAAGCAAGATGCGTTAAAGAACATCGTCTCGAGTAGAGAAGAGTACAGTGGGTGGAAGGGGTGCTGGAATATGATTTTTTAATTAGTCAGCATCAGCACATTACTTCTACAACACAGCTCCACATAGAATCAACCATCTAAAAAGTGCTTATACAAACTGAAAGATGCTGATGAAGAATACAAAAGGGGATTTGGAGATATTTCACAAAGTCAAAGTGTAACCAAGTGACAAAGTGGTGGCACAAGAGTCAGGATTAGTGTCCTCGCGGAGGCTGCTAGCTACAGTAGATCCCCAATACCAGCTTTAGTATTCCTGTTACCTCTGGCCACCCTCCTGTTTTTTATAGTTTGTTGGAAAAACAAAGCTTTTGAATATGGGATCCCATGTGAATTCCTTCTGTGCACGCATCGGTGACAACAGACCACCAATTTAACCACATTATCATAAGCTGCTAGCACTGGGAAGGACCTGAAGAATGTCATCCCAGCCAGCAACATAGGGACTGTCAGGAAGTGGTCCACTGGGTTTTGTGGGAACTGTAGTCTCAAAGTAACGCAGAATCTGTAAACAATCTGTAGACAATTTTTGTAGGCAGTTTCTGTACACATTTCTCCATAATTGGTGTTAACCCATACACCCTGGCTGTAGCTACTGCCTGCTATCAGGTTATTATTTGGTTCCCTGACCATGAAATTGTTTTTGCTCAACATATTTTTAATAGTGGACAACTGTTAGAAGGAATTTTATCATTCCTGTACTTTGTGTTTAAATTGTAAGTGTTTTCATTTGTCTTATGAGTTTGATTAATATTAATAGTATTAGTATTAGTACTGCACCATCCAGGAACAGTTGCCATTTACAAGTCCAGTAGATCCCCCTCTTGCTCACTTCCAGCAGTTATAGTACTCCCAATTCCCACACTGAATGTGGGGCCACCTGGGAACCTCAGCACCACCATCCATCAGGTCAAGTGGGTTTCCATTTTTAGTGTAAGAGTAGTCTTATGTGGAGGATAGGATCAAATAATTATTGTATTATGGGCTCTTATAACATCCCAAGACTCCCATAATTTTCCACCAGTGAAAAGGGTAGGGCACGAAAACCTTGATCTCAACCTCCACCAGTGAAGCAGTGTGCAGCCAGGGCCTTTGAAAAACTACATACAAAGTACAGTAACCACCAATTATCTTTTTTCTTTTACGAGCATCCATAGCAACCCCAGAAGTCTGTAATTGAGTATGCCATAGAACTAGATCTGGGATATCGTTTTACAGATAGGGATTACAAACTGATGATTACTCATCAGTTTATGAGGGGGTTGTGGAACCTGGAGATCTGGGACTGGCTTGTTCCCATGAAGCCAGATTTCTGACGTTCAGGGAACCCAAAATTGAATTGCAGCAGCTGGCCAGGGAGAAGTGATCAGCAGTGAGAACCGCCTGATTCTGCCTCTCCCAGAGTTTGACCAAGAGCTGAAAAAGCTGTGCCCCCTCAAATGTCTTCACAGCCCTAAGAGTCAGCAGTTGAAGCAGGATAGGAAGGGAGGGGCTAGTCTAACATCACTTATTCAGAAGTTGGTAACAAACCAACATGGATTTGAGGACAAGATAAAAGAGTGGAAACAGATTATGTCACAGAAAGCATAGGTTTCTGCTACTAGAAAAGCAATCAGATGGTGCACCTGAGATGGGAATAAACAAGATGAGCAAGACACTAATCTTGGGAGACTTCTGAGAAGACCAGCAAATTCAAGGAAATGGAGGCCAAGCAATGGTGCTGGCTCCTCCTGAGTGATAATAAGAGAGCAGATACTGTGAAATCTGCTGTTTTGGGGAAGGGAGAGCAGACATTTGAAGTGAAACAGCAAGAGAACAACTTCTAGCTTGCAAACCTTCATGATAAAGGTTGATGCAAGATGACCCAGGAGGAAAATGTCCCTTTTTTAAAGTGACCCATTACTGCTCCGCCCCATTAACTTTTACAAGGTCATTGCATATTCTCACTAAGAAAATTTCTTTATGGTGTATTTATTGTATGCAGTGCATATCAGTCATTTAAAAAAAGCATATAGAGATAAAAGATGTGTTTGAGGAGAGACACTCTTTTCAATACTATGTCCTACCTGAAAGGGCAGGGAACTGGTGATAAACAGAATTTCTCTTAACCACATATTGCCTTGCTCTCCATATTTCTCCCATAGAAGTTCTCCTCTGGTATTGGTGGATGTTCTCTTGAACACTGCAAGTCTGTATACATGCTCGCCGAACATGTGGTAGTTGAAGCGAAAAATACACTGATTGTCTTCATTCAGTGTTGTGGGATGGAAATTGTGACTCAGAAGCACTGCAGTGTCTTTAAACTTCTGAGGTGCGGAGGCCTCAATGAACAGATAGTGGCCATTCACGTTGCCCAAGGTATGGTCCTTCCAGGGTCCAGTGTTCAAAGTTGGGGTGGGGCCCTGGATTCTGGTCCAATCAAACTTATCATCAGTGTCCTGAGACCAATTGCAGAGCCCTTGTTCAAAGTTGCACTGCAGATCAGCAGCTGCAATAACACAGCACAAGGGAAATCAGCTTAAAAAACAATTTTAAAACCAATCACTTATTTGTTTCTAAGAGATTAGCCCATGAAGAAAACAGTTCAATTAGACTTTAATAGTAATTCTGTTAAATCATTTTAATTACTTACAAACTCTGGAGGAAAGGCTAAAGTTTTTTAGCTGCACAGATAACTTTCATGTCAAGAATAATGAACAAATTCTATAAATCAAATGCTAAACTTAAATCTAAATATATCAGCTAAAGAAATTTGGCCAGTAGAAGAAGATAAGAACATAAGAAAGAGTTACTGTATAAACAAGAGGAAGCCATTCAGACCATTTCTGTAATTTGATTTATGGCTCATATTCAATTTCAAAATGTTGTCTAGCTACAGTACTTTTGAAGGATTTCAAAATACTTCAATTACTCATTGGTCAATTTTACTCCAGAGAGCCAAGTAACCCACCAATTTGCTCGAAACATGCCTAATATTTTCAGCCTGAAGCAGTTTCATTTCACAGTTTCAAACTGCACTAACAGAAAGTGCAAAATGTTAATTAAATTAAATGAGAATGTAATCACCTACCACAGTTTTCTTCATCCGATCCATCTCCACAATCATCCACAAGGTCACAGAGCAGGAGGTGGTCAATACAGCCCCGCGTCTCTCTGCAGTGGAACTGACTGGGGCCAGCGCATTTGGCTGAGGGTGGAGGAAGGGAGCAGTTTTCAAAGTAGATATCATCCAAGGCGGACACACCATCGAAAAAGCCGAGGCTGAGCTTGGCTAATGAGAACTGGAAAGGCTGTGTCAGGCGACCAAGCTGAATGACCACCTTCAGCCACTGGTCTCCCTGGTTGTATAGGGTCCTCCACACAACGGTGATGTTCTCCACTCCATCAATCCGTAAATACATGTCAGCCGCTCCAACAGCAAGCCCATAATTGTAATGCCTGAAAGACCAGAGCAGGTTCTTTACATTGGGGGTAATCAACAACTGCTCTCAGAAGCTTAGATCTCAAGGGTTTCCTTTCCCTTAACCCAATAATTAACTAATCAGACTTCATGTCAGCAGAATACAGCAAAATTAAAAGCTTTCAGAATTGTGCACACTGATTAAATACAGATATGGATTGTATCTAAACAAGGACATAAGGGAGCAGCACTGCATTAGGAGGAAACCAAACCAGTATGAATCTCCTGCCAAGGTGATTGGATTTAATTTTTCCATCAATTTAATAATTCTGACAGAACCTAGTTCTAGATTAATTCATTTTAAAAGTATTGCTTTTAAAAAAATAAGATCAAAGGGTCTTAAATTCATAGATGTGTAAAAGTATTTTATTTTACCAGAATGACACGGTACAGCCTGATGCAGACTGACTGTACTTTGGACTCCTTAGAAGGGCCTTTTGTGAAAAGTTGCTGCTGTTTTTCAGAACAAACATAAAATGCCCTGTAGAGATTGAAATAAAGATACAAGTGTTTGGAAAACACAGCATGTATTAGGCATAAAATAAAATAGGTATCAACAACCAATAAATACAATACCAAACTTTTAGTTTTAAGTTTCTTTTTAATTTTAAAAATTGGGAGCAGAATTTTTCAATCCACATCTATTATATAGTATCTGATTGTAATTCAGTAAATTCTTACTGTGTACTGTAATGTCTCTCATTTTCAAGTATTATATTTAGTGCTTGAGTGCAGGCTGAAAGGCTATGTCATATAAATTATTTGTGATAGAAGGAACATAGTAGGTTCTATGAGGAAAATGCAGAGGTTGTGGAAACCAAAAGTACTGTATACCAACAAATATTTATTTAGGCCAGAAGCAAATTTAAACCTCACTACTACTTTAATAAATATACAAATGCTGACAATGCTGAAACTTACATAATAATCAGAAAAAAACAGCAAGTAGCAAATGAAAGTACAGGACATTCTAAATCATTTATTTACATTAAACAGCAGCACGATCCCCTTGGGTCTGAGGAATTTCACACACAGTTACAGAATATCCTGTGGTAAATACTTGGAGGTTTGGATAAATTTTTTCCCATTCCTGCATGTGGTCTGCCTACATACCCTCAGTTGTATTTGTAGTGTGGTCCTGTGGGGGTGATTGGTCTCGGAAATCTGGAGGGACAGATATGTGAGAGCTTCTGATCCAGTCAAAGCCATCTCCTGCAGCAAACTCAAACCATCCACAAGAGTCCTCTTCAAAATCACACCAGGCGGCTGCAACAAAAACATCAGCACACACTTCAGCACAGTGCAAAAGTGTGCCGCAGATCTACACTGGTCAAAGTGGATGCCAAGGTAGACATCTATGACATAACTGAAATGTTGCTGCACAAATGATAAATAAAAATAAATCTTAATTTATTGTACTGTACAATTTGAATCTCATTTAATTTTTGAAAGATTGTATCATGTATATTAGTAAGTAAAGCAGGAATTACTCTTAAAAAAGAATTTGTTGGACAACGTTCACTATTAAATTTAGAAGAGAAGCTACTAAAGCTATTATTCATGAAAGCAAATACACAAGGAACAAGTATTAGGTTTATTCCATGCTGAAAAGAGAAAAAAGGAAACACAATGTTTCGGCTGTGGAGCCTTCTTCGGGTGTGAGCCTTCGTTGGAGCCTTCCTTACACCTGAAGAAAGCTCCACAGCCAAAACGCTGCATTTCCTTTCTTCTCTTTTCAGCATGGAATAAACCTATTACTTGTTCCTTTGCTGCCTACGCATACTGACGCAGCTACCCACCTGAACTACTGAAAGCAAATACTATATATATGTGAAATGTTTCCAAGATTGACTCACAATTCCTGCAACTACTGTATACAACAGAATTTATTTTGTAAATATATGTCTATCCTTATCTGTACAAATACATAATTAATACTGAAACTATGCTGAGAATGCTAAAGAATGTATTCCAGCAATTCCTAAAGCAAGGATTAGCATGAAGAAGATTTTTCCTAATGTTCAAGAACTGCTTTAATTTTTTGGGGATTTTCTTAGTTAACATTTTAGTTCTCGAATGGAAAGTGAGAAAACCTCCAGACATTTTTAACTGGAGTCAGGTCTATGCCATTAGGCGCTGATGGTGTTGGCTTTTAAAGAAATGTGACCACAGTCCTCTGGCAAGATAGGAATTTAGGAAAACACTGCACTGCTAAAGCTAATTTTATTCAGAATTATTGACTTAAAAATGATGAGGAAGGTACAAAAAACTATAACTGGCTATTTCCAATGTGAGTTCTCCAGGAGATTCAGTTCCAAGAGTTTTTCACAATTACTCACGGCACCCAGCTTCGTCGTCCCCACTGTGACAGTCTACTGTAAAATCACAGACTCTCTCCTCATGGATGCATTCCCCACTGTGACAGCGAAAGGAAGACGGTGGGCAATGAGGTGGGGGAGGAACTGTGGTGGAGATATTTGCTGAAAAATAAATGATTTTGTGTTGGTGAATTGAAAAAAGGCAGACAACTAAATTGAGCAATAATGAAGCTCAACAATGAATCTTGTATTGTGAAATCGTGAAAACGAAATCACTGCAAGCGAGCAATCTAGAGATTATTAAATTACCACAATAAATTAAACTAGCTATTATTATTGTTGTTGTCATTGTTATGCAGTTAATTTACTATTTATAGGCTATTAAAAGACATTTTTATTTTTTTACATTTAAATTGTAAGGAAATGGTAAGGAAAGCTTTTCTAGAAACCATTTTTGAATAATTATTTTAAATAAGTGAACTCAAAAAGACATAATTAAGACTAAGTATGCTCTCAGTAACTTACCCAACAAAACCAACTAAAAAAGAAACAAACAAACTATCCAGGACCACATACTCCACTTAGAAATCTTTACCTGCAGCGATTTCCCAGCTAGCACTCTTTTTGAAGGTTTGGCTTCCATTATCTTTTGCCAAAGAAACAACTGTGTCTACATGGATGAGGTAAAAACCAGGAAGGATGACTGGCTCCACAGTAACAACTCCAGGAAACCACTGACTTTCTTTCACCCAAAAGGAGGCTTGGACTGTAACTTCACTGCCAGTGGAAATCTGTTTGACAGACAATTCGGCATTCCCGTGCCCAGATCCAGTGAGGGAATGGCATAGATAGAGAGAGCTGCTCAGTGCAGACTTGAAAGAATACGTGCCACTGACATTCTGGTATAAACTAGGTGACAACAAGATGAAAACTGAGGCAGGATAGTCAGCAACAACTCCAACAAAGGCCTTGCCATTTTTGTCAATTGTCAGTCCATGCTGATGTGGAAGAGACTGATTTGTAAGAAGCACGACCTGCCCATAATCTGTAAGAAAAAAAATATTGAATAAGAAAATTTAATTTAATGAGATGACATGATTCAAATATACCAAAATGATTTATCCTAAGTACAGTTGCGGGTTTATAAGCAGCTGATAAAGGTGAAAGGCTACAAGTGAAAAAAAAGAAGAACCCTGTCCTGTTACATGCATGGATTTTTGAGACGGACAACATTACATGTCACATTTCATGTGCTGCACAAAACATGTGTAGAAACATAGCACTGGAACCACATCTGTTGCTCATCTAACTGCCAATAATTCTATGCTTTTCAAGTGAACAGAAATTCAGGCAGTGTTCACATGAATTGTTTACACATAGCCACCATCAAGCAGTTTTTGATCAGAGAGGATCGCAATATTGATTTCAGAGTGTTTTACAATTACAATTACAATATCAATTGGTTAAAACTGGTGTTTGACATTTTAAACCAGGAATTAATACTTTATTTGATTAATTGCTCTATCAATTTCAGGGTCTGAATTATAGCATGTTCATGAGCAACTAAACAGTGCTAATTCCATTAAATTAATAAACACATTAATTAAAATTATAATTAAGTTTCACTATATGCTTGTGTAGCAGTTAAAGATTTTATTATAAAAGTAGAAAGCCTATATTTAATTAATGGGAATATGATGATAACTGGATTCTACAGAATATTTCAAACATTTCAATTATTTCAACTTCTAATTGCAGTTAGTAGTGGTCTGAAATACTACTGGTATGACATCAATCTCATGAACAAACAGGCCTTAGCCCACTAGTACTGGCATTTTGTTTGATAGAGGTGTCTTTTGTCTTCCAAGAAAAACTAGTGACAGGATACAAAGCGGAGTTTGTGGTTTGTGAATGGCAGGTGATTAGTGCTGTTGCCTCACAGCTCTTGCATCATGGAATTAATTCCTGCCTGTTGTCCTGGTGGACAAGAGTATACAAACCTCTGTGTGGGGTGTAAATACTCTCCTCACATTCATGTAGACCCTCATCAGGTTCTCCGGTTGTCTCTAAATTATTTGTGTGTGTGCCCTACCACCCCTATCAGAAATGCATAATTATCTAAAAATGAGGGATGGAATTCTAGTTGGGGTTTCAGTTGCACATTTAATTTTAATTTAGTGCAGGCTGCTGTGCTTAAGAACATTATTTTAGTGTTAGACCTTATATTCAATCAAGAATTCCAAGAATTTAAATCTGTCTTTTAAACAGTTAATACTTTGTTGTTTCCAAACTGAGGCTTTCAATTCTCAGTTTCTCAAAGTAATTATCGCTGCAATCTGTAAATTGAACTGTGATGAAACCAACCAGGTTTTAATTTAATCAGTGCAACTGTTTCAAGGTCTGTTGTAGTTTGAGTTGTAAGAACAAAATAATGATTGTGCATCAAACTGTTTGTGTAGCAATGACAGTGTATCTGGGGCAAACTACAGTTTACAGTGATAATCACTAGGTTATCAATTAATTCATTAAAGCTTGAATGAGAACAATTTGTGTAATGGACAGTCTGTCACATAGTGGTATATGCCCATATTACATGGGTATACAAATTAAAGCACCAGATTTTCTGGTGCAAAATTAAAAAAATATTTGGTTTGTGATTAAATTGAACAAATTTCAATTTAATAGGTACTGTGGTACACAACATAATTAAATGGTTTTCAAATATGTGGATTATGCTGGGATCTTGGTTGAATTAGCACCCCAATATTTAACAGCATATTTGTTCCAGTATCACTATTATTATTATTATTATTATTATTATTATTATTATTATTACAGTACAGAACATGACTGAAGCTTCAGCAAAAGAAAGACAGGTGTGTAAAGTAGGCACTTTTTCTGGGAAAGCACCACTTGCCTTTGTGCTCTGTTGTGGTCTCAGGGAGGGATACATTCGTAGAAGAACACTGTGGTGCCACACTAATATCATCTACAGCAATGGTTGCATTTGCTGAATTGAGAGAGGCCTGGAAAATTATCTGTAATGAAAAGAGATAAATAAGTAAAATTCACAATGATCACATTTCCATTACTATCTGTTGCCATACAGAAGTTAACAAATGTATGTTAAGCCTACAAACACATTTTATAATAATATTATATAATAATTATTTTTAGATTTTAAAGTCTATGCGGAATTTGACCGGAAGCCAGTGCAAGGACTCCAGGATAGGAGTAATGTGAACACTTGCACTAGACCTGGTCAAGATTCTGGCTGCTGAATTTTGGACATACTGCAGTTTGTTCAGAGTAGATTTAGATACCCCAGCGAGTAGAACATTGCAGTAGTCAATTCGAGAGAATACAAATATGTTGACCAGCTTTTCAGCCACAGTTAATGATAGCATAGGGCGTAGTCTTGTGATATTTCTAAGGTGAAAAAAAGATGTTTTGACAGCATGCTATACATTTGGGTCGAATGTTAAGCCAGAATCGAATATAAGGTTTTTCAATTTTGATTGAACCTCAAGTACAGAGCCATCTACAGATAGGGTTACAGGACTGGCTTTACGAAGTTGATGGGGGGTACCAAAAAGCATGACTTCAGTCTTGTCACAGTTAAGATGAAGGAAGTTTTGAGTCATCCAAATTTTTATGTCAGAGATGCAAATAGATAGAATAGAGACAGTCACATCAGTGTCGGGTTTGGTATGGATGTATATTTGAGTATTGTCAGCGTAAAAATGAAAGCTGAGGCCATGTGATCTTAAAAGCTGACCAAGTGGGAACATCTAAATGCTGAAGAGCAAGGGGCCCAGTATTGAGCCCTGGGGGACACCAGACTTGACAAGACC